ATAGTGTGTTGTTCACCGTGGGCCCCATACATGCTGCATCTTTCAAGGTGGTTCACCCTTATATGTGTGTGCGGGGGAAGAAGGTAACCCTAATATTTATTTCTGCCTGTGACCTCGTGGGAGATTTTCCATTGCTTCCTGTTATTAGAAAGCCTATTCAAGAAATGGGGGGGGGGGGATAGGAAGACACAAATAAGATTTTCAGAGGCTCTTACCCTTCCCCACTCTAAAGCTGGCCATACACCTTACAACCATTGTATAATTTTTTTTTTTTGTCCAGACATCTCACCCTTGTTCAGTTTTCTTACAACTAGCCCATCATGCACAGACCAATGTAGTTTGCAATTAAGGGTCATCAGCACCACGAACTGGCTGATTTTCTTCGATCAAAGGACAGACTTTTGTTTGAGCGTGTGCCGTTTGCAACATCATTAACCTGTCAATTTTCGTCCAACTAGACAAATGTTTTCTAGCCTGCTAGAAAGACGAAAATCTGCCAGTTGTACAGTAATTGAGGTTGTACACTCCCCATCAACTGGCAGATTTTTGGATCAAAATGCAATCACAGACAAAAATCTCCAGATAATTGTAAGGTGTGTGGGCACCTCAAGGCTCCATTCACATATAGCGTTTACCTTTCCCACGCGGGAGACCGTGCAGCAACACAAACACTAAAATCTTTCATCCGCAGATTCCACACGTTTGTGGCTATTTATATAGCCGCTAGGGATGTCCAGATACCAGTGCCGATGCTTGGCATTTTCATAAGAACTACCAGGGTTGCAGCTGGGACCGGGCTCTGGCACTCCACCACTGTCCTGAAATCATTAGTCTGTATTGTTTTAGAAAAACTGTCACATGACAATAAACAAAAATGTATCAGTACTTGTGTCTGTGAGTACTTGGACAATTATCAGTACTCGTAAAAATGGTATCGGTGCATCACTTGTATATATATTTATTTTTAAAAAATAATGCATTAAAACAGGAATGTACAAATCCCAGGAGCTCTGCGTGCTCCTTAAAAATGACAGCTGCCTCCTAACGTTTGAATTTTTCTCTAGTGTAGTCTTGGACCTGGAAAAGTATCTGTACTTGTACCGAGTACGGTACTTGGTATCTGAACATCCCTAATAGCCGCGAACGTGTGGAATCCGTCAAGAAGTCGCGCTTGTACTAATTTACAGGCTGCATAGTTTTGTACTGCACGGCTGCCGCAAATGTCTGAACAATGTACATTTAGAGAGCATTGTTTTTTCTGGTTAGAGTGATTCTGCGTGTATATGGCCAGCCGAATACATGCGAACAACCGCTCCAGTGTGAATGGAGCCTACAAATGTGTTTTTTTTGGCTGTGTCTCCATTGGCAAGACGTCCTATCCTGATGATGACCTTATACTAATATTTTTCTTCGTTCAACCTGCAGGCTGAACAAAGAAATATTACAGATTCCTCAGTCAACGCCTACGAGCATTGATCAAGAAATCTCCCGCTGTTTGCATTGTATTCTGACAAGCTGCTGGCCATGGTCAGAGTACCGAACAGGGTCGGTCGACTCTCCAATGACCTGCCGCCTCTGTTCAGGTACTCTGACAGTAGCATTCCTTGAAAAATTGGGGGTTGATAGTGACTCCCTATGCAGAGTGGACTTCTATGTAGCCATGTATTTGGAACTGTCATCACCGTTTAAAGGTTTCACTAGTTGAATGATACCCTGATATTCAGAGCTGAAAATGTTTCCATCACTAAAATGCCAACTTATCTGTATTTTAATTTTTTTACTTTTTTCTAGACATTCATGGATTTGGACAGAAAACGACACATTCTCCTTCCCGAAGAGCTGGCATTGCTGAAATCAAACTTCAGATTTCTTCAATATTCCTATTTTGTGTGCGTGTTTTTATTTAAAAAAAAAATTACTTTATGGGACTGAGGGTACAAAACAATTTCTTAAAAGCATGCCTTATATAGCCTTCAAGGCGAATATTGAGCTGGCAATGCATGCATGATTTTATTTTTGTATATTTTTGGTCTGTATTTCTGTATGTTCTCAGCTCCGCTGGGCAGGGTTTACCAAATCCCTACTGTAATAAGGCTTAATGCGTACTATAGCTGCTATGTGACCAATCAAAAAGCCTTTTTTTTTTTTGTTAAACCTAGATGAGAAAGTAGGAGGTCAGTTGAAGCCCTATCTTAATGATCCAGATTTTTTATTTTATTATTATTTTAATAGGGATTCTGTCTGTTAAAGAAGCACGATTCCACTACAGCTATTTTAATAACGTATGATACAAGCCGCCACTTGGAAATTGTGTGAAGCAACTTTTTCTTTTTTATATTGTCTATAAACTGCTTTTTTTTCTTGTACTGGAGTATAATACTTTTATTTCTTAAAATATCCAGTACCTTGCACAAAAAAAGTATGGCTGGACAAAATGCTCTAGAAAAGGGCTTAAATATCTGCTGTGTAGCTGCAACAGACAGTGAAATCTTGAACTTGATAGAATAACTGACTGCTCCAGTGTAATGAGGTAAACCAGTTGTCTTGTTGGTGCATATAAATGAAATGCCCAGTACTTTAGACCATTATTAAACACAATATATATAGGTGGGATGCTTTATAAGTGAACATTGGTTCAATCATGTATATTAAATCCTTTTGCACTGTTATGTCCAAAATGTACATTCTAGCAGGCAGAATTTTTATAAGTTATAATATATATATTTTTTTCTTTTGTTTTGAGGGGGGTTTGTGTTAATTTGGGTTATTTAAACATTTTACATTGTTCTTTATAGCATGGTTCTATTCTATGCAACTAGATGTAAATGTGTCAGTATATCAGAGCTGTAATATCTTCTACTGGGCAAAAGGGGTGGGGGAATGTTCTAGTTGCATGAACCCATGGATTGTGCAATTGAAGTGTAATGTGTGTGGCAAAAAATTTAACATATAAAGTGACTAAAACAAGAGTTTTGTACCTGTGCGCTATATTTTGCTCCGGTTAGTTCTTTGAGAGTTTGTGTAGTTCATTTTCCACAGCCTCAACAAATGCTGGGAAGTGCTGGTCCAGCAGACACAGCTTGATAATCTGACCAAGATCTGCTGTACTAAACGAAAGGTTCTGATGAGTAGCACCCAGACAGGCCATGTTTCCTTTCAGAAGAGACTGCAAACACAGACCGCTTTAATTATGACACTCTGTATGCTATGCTCATATAATTAATTTAGCAGAATAATAAGAGAAATCTTTCCAGGCAAGCAATATATTTGATGTAACTCGGGCCACAAAAGGTCACATCAAAAGTAACCATCTACGATGTGAGGACCTGCATAACCAATATCTTCATATTATGTTATTGTTAGATTTTATTTCAGATTTTAAAAAAAACATTCCCCACTGTGTGTATTCAGCCTAAGGTACATATTTTACTTTTTTTCTAATCTTTTGGGCAGTACGCAGGTAAATACCTTTTCCATCCACAGCTCCACTGAAAAAATATCTGCAATAAAGTCCAAATATTTGGTATTATTTAGTAGTGGCGTAACAAATGATCCAAAAAAAAGTATGCTGCCTTCTGATAAAAATCAGCCTCCCCTGTGAGCATAGCATAATCAACCATGCGCTACAAAGGGACTCTCTTCTCGAAAAGGAGAGGTACTGGAAATTTGAATGGAGAAGAATTTTTTGGAAGGTGGTGAAAACTGGCAGGGTAAGAGGAAAAAGTGTATGAAGCAGCAGCAGAAGCACAGCAGAAAGAGAGTAGAGGTTTGAGGCGTGAAGCTGCCACCTAGTATCCATGTCTGACCTACGTATGTGTATCTTCATTAGTAGAAATTAGTTCCTAGAAATATGAAGCTTTCCTTTCTCGGAATTTCGAAGGAGGACAATGTCGCTAACACTTTGATAAAGACGGCAGAACCATCAAATTGATAGATATCTCCAAGACAAGACCTAGAGAAAAATTCAAGAATTAGGAGGCAGCTGTCATTTGTAAGGAGTGCACGCAGCCCCTGGGATTTGTACATCTCTGTTTTAATGTATGATTTTTTTTTTAAATAAATATATATAAAGGGATGCACCAATACTAGTTTTGCGAGTACAAGTACTGATACATTTTTGTTTATTGTCATGTGACAGTCTTGCTAAAACAAAGACTAATGATTTCAGGACAGTGGTGGAGAGCCAGAGCCAGGTCTCAGCTGCAACCTCTGCAAGCCTGGTAGTTCTCATGAAAATGCCAAGTATCGGCACTGGTATCTGAAAAGTATCGGTGCGTCCCAACAGTTCCCTGGCTCTAAGCAAGGTGACACTAGTTGGAGCCTTTGACCTGCTTTTCACCTGACAGGCAACTTGGAAGCTTTAAGTCCTTTGACAAACAGCTTAACTTTTTGATTAATTACTCATTGAGGGCAGTGTGTTTGACTAGCAGGATGCTTGGTGGTCCAGATGATATTAAGAGATTTGTTCTTGCTGTGTGAAGATACAGATTTTTATAGTGTAAACATTCACTTCAGTATCCAATTATGGGCAGATGAAATAAGCAAGAATTTGCTTTTCACTTAATTGGATAATTGAAGTAAATGTTTACACAATTTATTGTGTTAATATTCTCCACCCCTTTATTAAATCAGCTTCTATGTATGCACAAGACCTCGGTTATTTCTGGATATGCATTTACCTGTGCAACCTGAGTTATTCCAATCTTCTGATACGGAAAACTTTGGATTGATTCTCTGGTAGCCTCATTCTAAAACACAATTATAGAACACAATTAGTGTACATTAATATTAGCAATGTTGACTTGGAATACATTCTCTTCTTTATCATTCTTTCACACCTGGTCTCCCAAATAACACTGGAGCTTCTGAAAGCAACTGTCACAATTTTCCAGGGCTTTCTCCTTGTATTCCCCTTTGAATTGAATTCGAAACATGCGTGACTCCTCCTAAATGTAAACAAAGTATACACTGAATTAAAGGCATAGCTGGATTTCAAAGGTATAGTTTTAATGGAATATGAGAACTGTCACCAGAAAATGCACAAAGCAAACATTCCCAGCATTGATTTCAAATTGAAAATTTACTTGTGAAGAGCAGTGGCATATCCGCAATTGTGTGAACCCCCATTCATGAAGACCTTTTGGGGGTACGCACATCCAAAATGAGTGAAGCAGAGGGGGGGGGTTCTTGTTTTGATAGATGAAGCCTGGTGGGTGAGTCTTGGCCCATGACCTCACTGGTTGGTTACGTGATCCAGGTCTTCTGCGTGCCTCTCCCTGGGAGTGCCTGGTGGCCCTCAGCCAGCTGCATGTTGCGGCGGCTGTCTCGGGCTCCATGTTGGTCCATAGGTGCACCGGTAGGTGCTGCCTATGGACCATACAAGGGATATGTCAGCGAGGCAGTCCATCAATGTTTTTTTTTCTGGGGGGGGGGAGGAGTCATCTCTGCACCCAAAGGAATTTTGGGCAATTTGCCACCAGTGAGGGATGCCAGATGGGGCTCTCCTAGCGTTCACACTCAACAACAACCTGGGCAGGCTTGTCTCCTGGTCCAGGGATGCTCCAGTGACCGCATATGATCAGATCACTCTGATCTACATCTTTCTTTCCTTGAAGATCCTTCATCTGCTTCACAGAAGCAAGGCAGAGGTCATGCCAGTTTTGACGGTTTGGCTGCTGAAGCAGAAGTTTCCTTTTTGGAAGTGCTCCGTGGGACGTGTTCTGGTCTTCTGTCTCATCTTTTGTCTTTCCAGCAAACTTCCTTTTGAACCTGATGAATATTTGTCTGGGGGATCTTACATGCAAGGTGGTCTTCCTTGTTGCCATTACCTCCTCTAGAAAGGTTTTGGAGTTGACAGCACTATCATGCAAAGAACCATTCTTCACAAGGATATGCTTGCTCTCAGGCTAAGAGATTTTTTTTTTTTTAAAGCCTAAACTAGTAAATATCTTTTCACCTTAATCTGTAAATTATCCTTTTTTTCCCCTTTTATCCTGCTCCTAGGGCAGTTTCCCTCCCCTGACTGATTAGATGTGGTTCAGGCTATCTCAGTTTATCTCATTGCTACAGCTTCTTTCAGGCAAGCCATTTGCCCCATTGTCTTTCCTGACAGACCTTGCAGTGGGCTCCCTGCATCTCATTCCACCATATCTGGATTTGACAGGTCATTGTGCATGCCTATTCACAAGGAGACGTAACAGGAAAGAAAGGAGAACAGAGAACAGGTCTCTTTCCTTTCCTGTTATGGCATGTTCCACGGGATCTGCCAGTGCCTCTTGGGCTTTTCAGCAGCAGGCCTCTGATCCTCTGGTACCTCGCCTGCTGTTCATAAGTTTACTAAGTTTTACCAGGTGGATGTTCAGCACTCTGCTGATGCTGCAAGGTGTTATAGGCTGCTGCCTGAGTTGGCGTTTGCCCTTTTTGTGGGCGGCGGTTGTTTGCTGTTGCTTACCCCTCAGTTGTATCACTTTGGTACTTCCCAGTCATCCCTGACCTTGCCTGTCTCCTGTACGGTACAGTCAGGAAAATAGGATTTTTCACTTGCCAGTAGATCTGTTTGTTTGGACTATGGTACAGAACACAAGACCCCCACTTATGTGTCCTCTACTGTGTGCTAAAAAACTTAAGATTTGTGGAAAGGGTCCTTGCCGCTCTGGCCTGTGTCCAATCACCTGATGATCTCTGCATATTGGTCATCTCTGAATCTGCCTGTGTGTTGTACTGTACTCCAATAAACAGATTTTACTGGCAAGTCAAAAATCACATTAGTCAGACACATACCAGATAGATTTAGTTGTATAATACTTTTAAACTTTCATGTTGGTAAAACTGATCAGTTCAGTGAGGATATTCAGATAACGCTCTAAAATAAAATCCTAACATCTAAAAATGAGAACTCCACAAAATAGTCTTAAAGGAAACTTCATAGGTGTGTGATTTGAAAATGTCCTTCAGGTTCCCATCATTTCATTGATAATTTCACAGCATGCTTTTCCAAATGATGTAATCCTGCAACTTGCTCTGCCTTGGATGCCAGAAAATTATGAGTGATCGTTTGCACAGGCAAGATAAGTGCTCGCAGCTCTTCCACAGCAACCTCCTTAGGGTAATTGTATTGTAAAATAAAGCCATTAGAAATATTATTAGAATGATCATTTGTTGAATAATAGTGGCTGTGTCAACACAAATTGCACAGGCATGGTCTTCTGTTACTCAGAATCGGCTTGTATGTGCAACCGCCACTGAAGCAAGTGTTTGAAGACAGGTGACCACAGTATGGAAAAAAGAAACATGACAGCTGTTTATGACACCCACCATGCTTCATCAAACTAAATGTCAGCCAATTTGAGTATATAACTGCGTTCAGCACAAATGTAGACACTGAGTGACCTTGTGTGTATCATCATTGTGAAGAATTTAGGAAACCTATCTAAGAATCACTTTAACAAGCAGCATTTCTTCTGATGAACTGTTAGTGGTGCTACTGAGACGAAAAAAAACCCATCAAAGATTGTCCTACTCTATGCTAACTTGAATGTACAATAAATACAATCTATTCCATATAAATACGTATGAAAGCTACTCCTACATTTTTTTTTTCTGATGTAATCTGTCAAATTTGTGAAATGTGAGGATCTACCTGGCCAGACATAATTTGAGTGAATTGTTTAAGTAGGCCCTCGTATTCCATAGTTGTTAGTACATTTTACCTGAAAAGTCATATTTTTTTTTTTCTATTTATATTTTTCCTGTAGGGACATTAGTAGATTGGGGGATAGGGATATGTTCAATGCTAAAGATTTAGAGTCATTGGTGTGGAGACACCTTATGCGTTTTTTATAATGTTTTTTAACTAGTAGAGAGCGTCTGTACACTTTCCGTGAGAACGGTGCAAGATGAAGGAGAAAGACTGATGGAGTAAATGGTAGGTCCAATCCCGTTTTTACCCAGATTAGGTCAGCTATCTTTATCCAGAAAGGTTGGATCAGGGGGCAGTCCCAAAAAATATGTTTGAGGGTTCCTGCGGCTCCACTACACCTCACTTGTTCTGCCTGATGAAGGGGATCCTGTGTGACCCCGAAACGTTGCAATAAGTGTATTGTTGCATGATGCGTCAATAAAAGACGTTTTTCTACTTTGGAGTGCCGGTGTCCATAACTCTTTATACTTTGCCTGGATGGTGGCCATCCGTCGACTACTGATGCACCCAACCCATTCATCAAGGATTTAGCGGTAAGGAGTGCAATGGGTACACCGACTATCCACTACACCTCCAGCACATGGGTGAGGAGTCCGGGAACATGCGGTGGAGAACCGGCGGGACCCTGTACCACCTAGCCTGTAACCCGCCTCTTGATATCTATTGGCAATAGACGATTTGGTGGCAAAATAGTACATTCGTTCGATCTGTGAGGGAGTAAACTCCATCTCCAGATCCGTCGCACATTGTCTGATAAAGTAAGGCAGTTGATCACTCAGCTGGGCTCGCAAGCAGCTGACCTTTTGCCTGGATGGTGGCCATCCGTCGACTACTGATGCACCCAACCCATTCATCAAGGATTTAGCGGTAAGGAGTGCAATGGGTACACCGACTATCCACTACACCTCCAGCACATGGGTGAGGAGTCCGGGAACATGCGGTGGAGAACCGGCGGGACCCTGTACCACCTAGCCTGTAACCCGCCTCTTGATATCTATTGGCAATAGACGATTTGGTGGCAAAATAGTACATTCGTTCGATCTGTGAGGGAGTAAACTCCATCTCCAGATCCGTCGCACATTGTCTGATAAAGTAAGGCAGTTGATCACTCAGCTGGGCTCGCAAGCAGCTGACCAGTAGGGACAGAGTATGTCTGGTCGGTGTGGCTTGTAGGCATAAATCCTCGAACTCCGTCAGTGATCGGTGCATAGGGCTCTGCTCTTTAACCGAGCGCAGGTAATGACCGATTTGTAGAGCTTGCCAGGGACTGAGGTTAGGCTCTGTCGTACGCTGAATTTGGGAGTTCGACATCCAGCCCCCAGCAGTTCTGAAGTGTACAGCTCTGGTGCAGTTCCCTGTCGTCAGTGTAGTTCGCAAGGTGCCCATAAGGCCCAGAGTGAAATGGGGATTACCCACAATCGGAAGCATGGGTGAGGGCGTCGGAGAGAGGGCCGAGGAAGCAAATATGCCACTGGTCGTTCTCACCGCAGCTCTCACCAGCGGATTCGTCCACCGTGACACCGACAAAGCAGGACGTATCCATGGGATGCCCCACAATGGGAAGGGACAGTTTTCCTGCTCCAATGCCACCCACAGCTTGTGTTGTGCATTACAGCACCAGTCCACCACTACCGCCAACATGGCCGCTTTGTAGTAGATGTATGGATCTGGGAAGCGCATGCCACCCTCTGCTCCGGACCTGGACAGTAGCTGGTGTCGAATCCGAGCCCTTTTGTTAGCCCACACGAAGGCTAGGAAAGTTGATCTCATTTGCTTAAGATAAGCCAAGGAGAGCGATATCGGGAGAGTCTGGAGTAAATACAACAACCGGGGCAAGACCGTCATCTTCAAGATATTGTTGCGTCCGTAAATCTGCGGTGATGCGACGTTGGAGGGGAAGAAAGTCCAGAGCGAAAACTCTCAGATCATATGGCAGCAAAAACCCTAAATATTTGATATGGGAGTCCGCCCATTTAAAGGCAAAGGACGCTTTAAGATAATGTATGCGGGACTCAGGTATGGACACATTTAGGGCCTCTGATTTAGAGAAGTTGATTTTGAAGTCGGCCAATTTCCCGTAGACCGTCAAGGCCGAGAGGAGGTTGGGAAGCGAGACTTCCGGGTGGGTAACATAAAACAGGAGATCATCCGCGTACGCTGCGGTTTTGTGATGTCTAGAGCCTGCCTCCAGTCCCGCTATGTCCGGGGATGCTTGTATCGTCCGTATGAGCGGTTCAAGGGTGAGCA